TTCTCCTTTTCCCCCCATTGACACCCTCCTCCTCATCCCCCCACCCCATCCCCAACTTTGTTGTCTAGGTCCATTGGTTATGCATACATGCATATAAGTTCTGTGGTTTATCTCTTCCCCCTCAAAACCCTTTTTTCTGAGGTTTATCAGTCTGTACCCTACCTCTATGTCTCTGGATCACTTTTGTTCATCAGTTTATTTAGTTCATTATATTCTACAAATAAGTGAGACCATGTGGTATTTGTCTTTCTCTGCTTGGCTTGTTTCACTTAGCACAATACTCTCCAGGTCCCTCCATGTCATCTCAAATGATAAAAAATCTTTCTTTCTTACAGCTGCATAGTACTCCATTGTGTATATGTACCACAGCTTTTTTTTATCCACTCATCTACTGATGGTCACTTGGGTTGTTTCCAGATCTAGGCTATTGTAAATAGTGTTGCTATGAACAGAGGGGCACTTATTCTTTCTGATTGGTGTTTCATTCTTCTTAGGGTATATCCCTAGAAGTGAAATCACTGGATCAAATGGCAATTCAATTTTCAACTTTTTGAGGTAACATCATTGTGTTTTCCATAGTGGCTGCACCAGTCTGCATTCCCACCAGCAGTGTACTAGTGTCCCCTTTTCTCCACACCCTCGCCAACACTTGTTGTTTGATGATTTGTTGATGGCGGCCATTCTGACAGGTGTGAAGTGATACCTCATAGTTGTTTTAATGATTAGTGACATTGTCTATGTCAGTTGTCTGATGATTAGTGACATTGAGCTTTTTTTCGTATGTCTCTTGGCCATTTGTATGTCCTGTTTGGTGAGGTGTCTATTTAGGTCCTCTCCGTTTCCATTTTTTTATAGTTACAAATAATGCTGCAGTACTATCCTGTATATATCAAATAATTTCTTGAACTTTTAATTTTTCTTTATTTAAATTTAAATTTAATTTAATTAAAAAAATCTTTATTGTTGAATATAGAATGTATTACAGATGTTCCACATTTTTCCCCCATTGACCCCCTCCTCCTGCCTTTTCCTACACTACTGTCTGTGTCCAGTGGTTATGCATATAAGTTCTTTGGGTTATTTCTTCCCACCACCCCCCCAACCCCTTTCCCTTTGAGGTTTGTCAGTCTAGCAATGAATTTGTACTTCTTAATCTCTTCACCTTTTTCACCAATCCCCCAAACCCCCCTCCCATTTGGCAACCAACAAAATGTTCTCTGTATCTATGAGAATGTTCCTGTTCCACCTGTTTATTTTGTTTGTAGATTCCATTGTTGATAGATATGTATTCATTGCCATTTTGTTTGTTCATATATTTTATCTTTTTCTTCAAAAAGACTCTTCATCATTTCATATAATAACGGTTTGGTGGTGATGAACTCCTTTAACTTTTTCCGGTCTGGGAAACTCTTTATATGGCCATCGATTCTAAATGACAGCTTTGCAGGATAGAGTAATCTTGGTTGTAGGGTCTTGCTTTTCATCACTCTGAATATTTCTTGCCACTCCCTTCTGGCCAGCAAAGTTTCTTTTGAGAAATCAGCTGATAGCCTTATGGGAACTCCCTTGTAGGTAACTAGCTGCCTTTCTCTTGCTGCTTTTAAGATTCTCTCTTTGTCTTGAACCTGTTGCATTTTGATGATGATGTGTCTTGGTGTGGGCCTCTTGGGGTTCATCTTGTTTGGGACTCTCTGTGCTTCCTGGACTTGTATGTCTGTTTCCTTCACCAAGTTAGGAAAGTTTTCTGCCATTATTGTTTCAAACAGGTTTTCGATTTCTTGTTCTCGCTCTTCTCCTTCTGGCACCCCCAAGATGCAAATGTTGGCACCCTTGAAGTTGTCCCAGAGGCTCCTTACACTCTCCTCATTTTTTTGGATTCTTTTTTTTTTTTTTTTTTGCTGTTCTGATTGGGCATTTTTTGCTTCCTTAAATTCCAAATCGATGGTTTGCTTCTTGGATTTACGTACTCTACTATTGAATCTGTGTAAATTTTTCTTTATTTCAGTTAATGCCTCCTTCATTTCTGACTGTGCATCGATAATTTCTGACTGGTCCTTTTTTATGCTCTTGAGGCCCTCACTAAGTTCACTGAGGTTCTCACTGAGTTCACTGAGTATCCTTATAAGCAGTATTTTGAACTTAGCATGTGTTAGGTTGCTTATCTCCATTTCGCTTAGTTCTTTTCTTGGGGTTTTGTTCTGTTCTTTCATTTGGGACCTGTTTCTTTGTCTCCTCATTTTGGCTGCCTCCCTGTGTTTGTTTCTGTGTATTACTTAATGAGCGGTATGGGGCTAGCTGAGACCAGATGCTGCTCGTTTGAAAGAATTTAGGAAAAACCTGAAGCAGGATCCAAGACAGGCCAATCCTATGGTTAAGCAAGTGGCAGCAGCTTGGATGGGCCTGAAAGTTGGGTGGGGCGGGGCGGGGCCTTAGGGAGTCACCAGGGCGGGGCTACCAGTGTGAGCCAGGTTGCTGGAGTCCCAGATATAGTGACCGTCTGCTGCCCCAGGGAAGGGCTCACCAAAGGAACAAAAGCCTCTGACAGCACGTTTGTCTCAGAGAAAGCCCCCTCTCCAGCCCTCGCTCCAGTGCCAAACAGCTCAGTTCTTCCCTGTATGTCTCTGGTGCCCCTCGTGCTGCCTCCCCTACAAGCTTAGAGGAAGTGAGTCCGATAAGTTCGTGCGTGGGACCTTTAAGGAGCTGCCTGGTGCTCCAGCCACTTCAGCTTCCCTGAGCTTCAGTTCCTGCTGGTTTTTCCAGCCCAAAGTTATGGGGACTTCTCTTCCTGGCACTGGAACCCTGAGCGGGGCACCTGGTGTGGGACAGGGACCCCTCAGTCCTCAGGAAGGACCTTCTCAGCCGAGGTATCCTGATTTTTATCCACCACATGTGGGTGTGGGACCAGCCCATCTCATCACCGGCCCTCGGGTCTCCACCCCTCCTACTAGTCTGGATGTGGCTGCTACTTTAATTTTGTAGTTGTAGGACTTCCATTCAGCTTGATTTCAGGCAGTTTTGAGTGATGGTTGTTCTGTAGTTTAGTTGTAACTTTGATGTCTTAATTTTTCTAAATTTCCAGAAAAAGAGTCTAATCCTTCCTTAGCTTTTTCATTTTTATTACTTTTACCTTTTTACCCCTGCCCCCCAAATTTCATATACATACATAGAAAATGTCAAAAAGTTTGAGAAAAGAGAAACTGCCCTGGCCTGTTTTGCTCAGTGGTTAGAGCATCGGCCTGCGGTCCAGAGACCTGGGTTCGGTTCCCGCTAAGGGCACGTACCTCAGTTTCAGTTTGTCCCCGGCCCTGGTTGGGTCGTGCGGGTGGCAACCACTCGATGTGTCCCTTTCACAGTGATGTTTCTCTCTCTCTCTCTCTTTCTTCCTCGCTCTCCTTCCCACTCTATCTGAACGAAAAATGAAAAAAAAAAAAATGTCCTCGGATGAAGATAAAAAAAAGTTTCAGAAAAGAAACATTTGATGCCAAATTATCTATTTGTGTGTGTGTGTGTGGGGGGGGGGGGGTTGAGTTAAGGTTTCAAAGGGGGTCGTGTTCCTGGATATTGGAAGGATGGGGAGAAAGAAAAGGCTCTATAGGCTTTCACTTTCTTTAAGTTTAAGAGTTAATTCTGACAGCTCTGGACAATGGAATAGATAGAAATTAAGAGTTGGGTATTTAGAGTCATTTGGATTTGTTCATTTAAATCCTGACTTTGCTACTTATTATCAATGTGAACTTAGACATAGTCAATATCTCTTAGTCAGAGTTTCCGTATCTGTAAAATAGTTATAATAACAGTGCCTTATGGGACTTCTAGAAGAATTAAATGTGATCACCCATGCAGAGTGCTAAGCTCAATGCCTGGCACATTGTAAATATAATGTAATTTTATATATGTATAATTTAAATAAAATACAGTATCATATGTTTAGCCAGAGGACAAAAGACTAATATCTAAATGTGAAATGTAGCTATCAAGCTGTAATCTGAGTATGCAGTCTTTTTTGAACAATTTAAATATTTCAGATGTTTTTGCTTTCATGCTATTTTATGTGATAGAAAGTAAAGTAGATTTAGAAAAGTTTAATAGGCTAGAGGAAGAAATATATAAGAATCTTCAGAGAAATACTATGACTCCAGGAGGAAAAGTGGAGGTAGATTCTCTGGTGTGGCATCTTCTGTCTTTGGGCGGGGATTACTCTGTAAGGGGTAGAGAATAAGAACATTCTACACTCTGTGACCAGGATAAGATATGTTTTAGGATTTTCAAGCGAACTGAACAGTCATATTTTGTGTACTGTACAATTTAAAAAGCAACCCTTATTGGGTAGGCAAGGTGAGTATCAAAGTCCTCTCTTTGGTTCCATAGAACAAGGGCTTTGCACAAATTTAAAAAGCTAGGTTTTCTTATGTTTACTTCAGAGTTTTCTCAGTTACATACTCATTTATCCCTTTATACTCACTTATTCAACAAGCATTTATTGAACTCCAGGATGATTTCAGGGCAATATATTAACTTCACCCTTATCCCCTTAATCCCTTATACACTATCTCAGGGGAAAGAGAAGCCCATCAGAGATATTCCTGAGAAAAATGGAGATGTTCATCTGCATATGGAACACAACAGAATGAAAAAAGGTCAGCGAACCAGAATTAGTGACAAATTGTTATTGACAGTTCGTGTATGGTGTGAACGAGGGAACCTCCGGACAGAGAGCAGTGGGTCATCACCTGGGGTGGATGGCGAGCTGCAGCAGCGAGGTGTCCAGGTGGCGGCTGGAGGGGAGTGAGGGGCGGCGCTCGTGCGGGCTGGGAGCAGTGGCGGCGTCCACCCGCAGCCCGTGTGCAGCGGCGCCGCTCTCCGAGGCTCGGCGCCGGCCGCTCCTCCTTAACCCGCGCGGGAGGCGGTGGCGGCGGCGGCCGGGCGGGCGGGGGAGGGGGAGGGGCTGGGAGTGCGGCGCGGAGGCCGGGGAGGAGCCGGGGCCTGCAGCGGAGCCGAGCCGAGCCGAGCCCTGACACTGTCCGTCCGCCTTCTGGCTCCGGGGAGCCCGGACTGGCCGGTGCCCGAGAGGTGGCAGCGCGGGGAGCCCCACGCGCAAAGTGAGCGGACCCGACGGGACGGGGCTAGAGGAGGCGCTGCCGCCACAGTAGCCAGTGACCGGGGTGCGGAGCCGCGGCCTCCCGGACCCTGCTGCCCAGGCCCGCCGAGGAGAGCGGGGAGTACGAAAACCCCACCCTCTGGGGCACCCCAGGAGCGGAGGCGGGAGCGGGGCCGGGAGCCACCTCCCTCCCCGTGGAAGAGAAGACCCTTACCATCCGGGCGAGGGGAAGAAGAGACCCTTATAGGGGCGAGTCCCACGGTCTGGAAGGCGAGGAAAATCCCCTTGCTGGCCCGGGAATAGACCTGCAGAAGTAGAAAGGGGCGATCCTTCCAAGGAAGCAGAGTGAGCCCGCCCCGGCTTGCCTCCGCCCCTCCAAACACACTCGCAGCACTTCGGGACTTTTGGGGCTAAGAGAAGGGGGGGGTAAGCCTATGGAATAGGCACCCTCCATCCTCTCCAGTACTCACAGAAGCAGAGGACACTCCAGGGAAAGAAGAGGAATCGACTTTCAGCCTTTCGGGAGAGGGGAGGGACTCTCCCCTCAACTTCCTTGTACCTAGACAGTGGAACAGGGCAGAGCCCCTCCGCTCAGATCTCTAGCAGACCGGAGGAGCCCTCTACTCTTGAAAGATCCAGTTTGGGGGGGAGGGGGACTCCCCCAAGGGGGAGGAGACAGCTCCTGGTTGGGAGAGGCTCCTCCCCTCCTCCCCGGCGCAACTGGCAGAGTGTGGGGGGTGTGCCACCTTCCCCAGGTAGGACCTCCTTCTCCTCCTCCCTCCGCTCCTTATCCTCAGGGGGCCCAGATCCCCTCCCCAGCTTGGGAGGCTCAGCTAAGTCCGGGAAGAGCCACAGAGGATGAGACTCTTCATCTGCCTTTGAAGAGGGGAATCCCTCCAACCCCAAACTCCAGTACCAGGTGGTTCCCTCCCTTTGGTGGGGGAACCTTGGAGACAGGTTAGTGCATTCTTTCATCTTCTCTTGGTCATCTTGAGGCACCAGTAGGTGTAGGGGTCTGAGATGGTGGCTCTTGGGTTTTATTATTGGGGAAGGTAGAGTGATAACTCAGAGAAACGTGTTCTGAAGGAGCTTCTGGATTTGAACCTACACCTTGCTGTAAAGGCTCTGAGGAGTGGGACCTTTAGTGTTTGGGGTCTAATGGGATGGGATTCATCTGAGGTCCCTGGGGAAGTGTATTTTTCCATGCTGACAGCAAAGGGATATCAGAAAATGCCTGCATTTTTGGAATCTATCTATACTGTGTAACAACGCTTGACACATCCCAACCAGACCACCCCCCATCCTTGGGGCCCTTTCCCCTGGACAGGGAGCCCTGTCACCTGGAGAGTGGGCCCTCACTACTGACGGTGGCATTTCATGACCTGACCTTGTTTAAGGCTTCTGCTGGTATTACATCTTATCTGTAACCTTAGGTGAGCTTTATGCCCACCAGAACTGCTCTCCCCCACCACTGTGATTACTGCTCCTTTGACAAGAAAAGCAGTCTGTCCCCACTCACTGTACCTCAGACACCAAGAAACCTGTCGTGATATTCACATTCCTGGCCCGCAGCATGCATCTACCAGTAAAATCCAAAGGGAAATGGGAACTCCACATGTCTTGAGATAAGAAGAAAGGGCATAGGGGAATGCCAACTTCTGGGTTGAAGTTGTTCCCTAACACTGACCCTGTAACCGCTGCCCCAGTCCCCGATCCAACTCCTGTCCTTTGCTGGCAGTTCCTCAGGAAAAATCAGATCCTGCATAGGAAGAGGGAAGTGTTCTGCTCAACCTCCTTTCAGTCTTCCATCTAAATACACTGGCAACCAGGGAAATGTGACCTCTGAGGAGTTACCTTCCCTAGAAGCACCTAATAGTCTCATCTTCTCCCTTCCTGTTTCTTGTTCAGCTCAGGGTCTCTGGAACCTTGTATTTAAGTTTTCTTTTGTAAGATAGGAGTTGGAATCATCAAAGTCCAGAATCTTTAGAAAATGCAGGAAAAATGTGCCAGGAAATCTTTCTAGCTGGGCCCAGGTTTAGTAGATCTCTGCCTTTTAACCTGGGGTCACAAAGTGGGTGCCTGCCTTCCTGCCTTGCCAGTAGGAAATATCTTCTGTAAGGGGTATTACACCCCACAACAAGGCCAGGTGAGAGGCATTTATCTCTGTGTTTTTATGTATCTTCTTTCTCTCTTTGTCTGGTCTGTGGATGGGCTGCCTACATCCCTAAGTACATCCACTTGATCCTGGAATCCTGTTAATAGTGGTATAGGAGTATAGGAGACAGGGCTGTAATCCAGGTTTGTATGGCTGTGCTTTAGAATGATGTGCATATGTTTCTTAATTCAGGTGAGTGTGGCTCTATCTTATCTCTGACTGTGTTTCGGGTGGGTATGTTCCTGGAGACAGGTACATGTGTGCTTTTTCGACCAAGCCTCCAATTACCTAGAATTATATGTTTCTGGTAGGCCTCTAAAAGCAGGTGCCCTTATGCAAGGACCCGGGGAGGGTCCTGGTAAGGATGCCCAGCCAGGAGGAAAGGCTTGGCCTCCCCTGGCCACCGAGAGCCCTAATGAATGAATGGCTGCGTGAAAATCATCCCAAGCAGCAGGACAGCCTACTTTCAGGCTGGGACCACTTCTTATGGGACTAATAAGAGGGAGCTTCATTTCTGGTATCTCTGGTCTCAAAAGCATGAGGATCTTTGGCTCTTAACCCTAGAATTCCTTCCCTAACTTTTGAAAAGAGATAGCTTTGGTGTAACAACAGTTTATTTCTTACAAAGGACTTTACCAGATGCTGGAATGCAACTTGTTGAATGGCTCAGAGTGAACAGCATCACAACACCTCCAGGTGTACCACCACCACACAGCTCCACTGGCCCTGCTTGCTCTGGGTTTCCCTAGTTCTCTTTGCCTCTGTGGAATCAGTCAGAAGCACATGGCTCTGGGGCTGAATTCACTATGATATAGAGAGTGCTATTTTTTAGATCCTGTTTTATGACCAGACCTAGTCACCCCTAAAAAAATAAAAGGTGATAATTCCGCCGTCCTTGGAGTTTACTCGGTCCTGGCATTGGTTAGTGCTGGAGTGATACTGTTTGTCCCCAAAGGAAAAGCTTGAGATTCTGACATCCTAGAAATATTGCAAACTCAGTGCAGGCTTTGCAGTATGAACCACTGTAGGCTTTCTGCTTCCAGTCTTACTTCTGTGATCTGACAGTCTGCTAACTTGTAATTTCTAATATTTTTCCCCACCCCCATTCAAGTGCTTTAAGAATATTAACTCAAGGTAACCCTCACAACAACCCTATGTAGGTACTATTATCATCTTTATTTTATAGATGAAGAAACTATAACACACAGAGGTTAAGTAACAGCCAGTAGGTAGTGGAGCCAGGACTGAAACCCAGGCAGCCCAGCTGGTAATTGGTAATGTGGTTAACTTACCCACTGCTCTGTTAGTTTTGGCATTATGTACAAAGCAGGAAATTATCACTCCTTAATACCCGACCTTGGCACCCTGCAGCGAACAATGACTGGCCTTGCAGATAAAATGGGAAGAAAACTGTGCCTAAAATTTTGTATCTTACATGTCTCATCCAGGATCAGTCTTCTACTCCAACAGAATGTCTTTCTGTTTTTCTCTGCCTTTCTCCCAGTACTGTAGTCTTCATTAGACGTCCTGTGGATGTGATGGAGCCTGCCCTTTGGCTGCCTTTCCCAGTTTCTATGGGTATTTCCTTTCAGTCTTCCAGCACGCAGAGAAGAATGTGGCCTGACTCAGGTTCTGCCCAAGCCCAGTGGCACGAGGCCCACCTGGAGAGAGAGGTCTGGGTAACTAGGTTGGTTGGACTGAGAAATGGAAGTACTTCTTGCTTGCCTTTCTAATAATAGCCCTGAACATTAGCCTCATGCCATTATTTTGGGGAGCGTGGAATGTGTGGCAGCCACGAGCTCATTAAGCTTCATTCACTTCCCTCCAGGGATGAAGCTTTGGCAGTGTTTATGACTTCATCCCTTTTATTAACAGGGGAAACTGAGGCATCAAGACTTCAGGGAGCAGGGGGTGGTTAGGGACACTTAGTGAGTCAGTATCCAGGTTGGGATCGGAACGGAGGAACCTCAGTCTCTGAGCTTTTTCACACTGGGCTGCCCTTCAAGAATGGGGAAGTGACAGGCGTGAGGAAGTGGGATGGGTTGAAGGAGGATGGTGCTGAAAGATCAGAAGGACCTTTTGCTGCAAGCCTCTTGTAGCTGGTTGGACTGGAATATATTTTGAGTGCTGGGGCAGTATCTGGAGGGCTGGCTGGGAGGGTGCTGGAGAAAGGTTAAATTTAACCTCAGTGTCCTCACCTGGTGCTGGGGTAAGGCTAGGGAAGGGCATAGAACAACCAGAGTGCTTCCATTTCCGGAAGTCACAGTGATTGGCATGCACCAAATGGGTTCTGTAAGCCCTCTTACCACTTTAAATCTACTTTCATGCTCCTGTTCGATGTTGGTCGAGGTTCAAGCGAAATATCTACTAAAGGCTTCTGTATTCTTAAGATAAGATTTTCTAGGGATCTTTAGCAAGAGATCATAGGAAATAGGGTTAATTTACAGATCTCCCCTCTGGTCATTGAGAACCTGCTTATTGTCATATTATTGCCCAGCTGGGATAATCCAGCTATGGGACCCGGTTACTGCCCAAAGAGCCCTGCTTTACTCCAGATGCTGTGGTGCTTGGACTTAGTATAGAGCTAGGAGGTCTGAGACTTTCTGGAACCTATTAGTTTCTAAGTTTCCGTAATGTCGGGGATAAAAAGGAGGGTGGGTGGTGTGAGAGAAGATAAGGATTAAAGGAAAACCCCTTTATGAAGGTGTTTATAAACATGACTTTTTTTCCCTTTCTCCTGTCAAGCAGTTCTTGGGTTGCAATTGGGTCTCTGGCGGCCCAGGCCCCTGAGGCATTAAGGTGTTTCCTTCAGCCTTGTGGAGTGGGTGTGTTGCTGGTGACAAGCTCAGGGCAGGGTACTTGTGTGTCTGTGCAAAGAGTGCGTAGGTGGGGACCTCGGGGGAGAGGGAGATGAGCACCAGGGCTGACCCTTAGGAGAAAGGGGTAAGTGTCAAGGGCAGAAGAGTCACTGACCAGGAGAGTGACTGAGAGCCTGAAAATGTGTTGGAGTCAGGAGACGAGGAGACAACCATAGCTGGGACTGAGTTTTGAATGGCAAAGTGTGTGGATCTGTGTGTAGTTGTGTGTATATGCTTGTGCATAGTATCTGTGCGTGGATTTAGAGTTTACACACACAAAATGTTTCTGTCCAGGATTCTGCAATCGGAGGCCTGCTAGAGGAATGCCCTGGTGGGACGGTCTGCAGGGACAGGAGGAAGAAGTACTAGTTGGAATCTGGAGGCTATGCAGGCACAAACCTGTTAGACAGCAAGTGCTTAGGGGTTGTTGGCATCAGCTCTAGGGGAGTGCCAAATGGCTACCAAGTGGTTTCTGCCAGCCTTTCTAGACCCTTCAATACAGATGTCACCCATCGTTCTTCTCCTTCCCCCACCAAGACGTCACTCCAGCTACACCTCTCTGCCAGTAAGAGCGCCCAGGCTGTGTGGGTGGCAGCAGGGCGTGCAAACATCAGGCGTGGGCGGTTTGGCTGCGCCAGGAGTTTGCATGGAGGTGCAGCAGAGTGCGTGCCTGGCTGGGAAGGAAGGAGAGAGGAGGAGGGCCGGAGAAGGGGAGCCAGCTCTTAGCCCCAGAGTGGCTATTTTTAGCCAGGCTATCTGATTGTTACCGGTGTGCACTCAGCTGGGTGTCTCCCTGGCTCAGTAAAGCCCAGCAGGCTGAGAGGTGGGAGGTCCTTGTTGATGACTTCTTCCTGGTGTAGGTGTCTGTGGGCGGGAGCTTACAAAGGGGTAGCTTTCAAGGTGTGAGGGCAGCTGTACTCAGGATCTGTTGCCTCTGTGTGTGACTTTGTGCTCTGTTGGTAACGTATGCTATATAGCTAATTGTGATCTCTGTTTATGTGTCTGTCTTACATCTGTTCTTTGCTGATAGTCATATGTAATTTATGATTGGTATAGATCTCATTTGCCTCACAGGCACATGTGTGTGAGCTAAAAAGGGCCAGTGCTCAAATATATATAATGTGAAACATCTTGTTGATGTATGCTTCATTAGTGCGGATTTCTGTTCAGATCGTTTTGCTTTACACGTTCACTTGTGCTCTCTGTAGATGTCGTATGTGTCACATAATTGAAGAATAGACTTTGGCAGATTTTTCCTGCTATTTAAGTGTACTTAAAATTTTTTTTTCTACATACTTTAAAAGTATTATGTTGTAGGGCTTTCAGTAAGGAGAATAGAGGGAATAGCTCAGTTGGGTGGGTGGTTTGATGTCACTTTTAGTCCTGCAAGAAGGGAGAGACCTTTTGGCCATGTTCCACATTAAGATGTAGAATAAGTACCAGTCTGTCATCTGGTAGATGATTGGTGAGATATCCGTTTGCAGGACCATATGGAAGGCTGTCTCATAGAGAAGTCTACCTACTAAGGGAATTATAGAAGAAACAAACTACTTTCCTTAAAGCACTAGGACTTGAGTATTACTTTCCGCCAGTAACCAGAGGTGACACTCATTTTTCTGTTTTCCGATTCCTTTTGTCTACTTCTCTGTAGAGCCCAAAAGAACCATGGCTTCTGACCTAGAGAGTAGCCTCACCTCCATAGACTGGCTTCCGCAGCTGACTCTCCGAGCTACCATTGAGAAGCTTGGGAGTGCCTCCCAGACTGGGCCTCCTGGGGGCAGCCGCAAGTGTCCACCAGGCTCACCCACAGACCCTAATGCCACCCTGAGCAAAGATGAAGCAGCAGTCCACCAGGATGGCAAACCACGATACAGCTACGCCACCCTTATCACCTATGCCATCAACTCTTCTCCAGCCAAGAAGATGACCCTCAGTGAGATTTACCGCTGGATCTGTGATAACTTCCCCTATTACAAGAATGCTGGCATTGGTTGGAAGGTGGGATGGCTTCTATAACCAGAGATTATTTTCAGCCTTTGACAACCTTTTTATCTACTTTTGTTTCTTCTTGTAATCTGATCCTTTTGACCGACCTGTCTCAGACATGTGGTATATACTTCCATCTGGTACATCAGGGAAACTCCAGTGATACTGAGCCTCTAAGTATAGTTATGGGGATAGTAGGGTGTTGTTACTCAGAATAACTGCTTAGCTTCTGATTCCTCAAAAAGGAGATCCATTAATTTTACAGATATTTATTGCCACTCTACTATGTTTAAGACACTGTGCAAGGCATGGCGTTGCTCCTTCCTACATAGTGGTAGGAATCTCATCACATTTCCAAAGCTTCTTTGCACATAGTCATCATCTTTTAAAAATTGTATACCCAGAAAAAAATATTTAATTAGGTCCTTCACCAACAGCTCATCCAACAAGCAAGTAATGAGAGAATGAGTCGTTTGGCAGGAGATAAAAAAAGAAGAGACTCCTCTTCCAAGCAAACAAGGAAGACTGATGTTCTCAGTCTTTTGGAGTACCAATTAATTGGCCAATTGCAGAGTAGAATGGCGATTTAATGTAGTTCTCTCACTGTATGAATCACCAGTTGATATGAAAACCAGATGATGAGCTGAAGACTGTTGAAAGCATTTAGTTTTTCCCCATATTCATATGGCCCTGCCAGCTACCAAAATCCCCAACACATTTACACAATATTTCTTTCTCTCAAATGTGTCCATTCTATGGGCTGTTGACAAAACAAGGTGGACTGTGCCTTTGTTTGACTCACGGTTTAGATTTGTTATTGTTTTTATGAATAGTTTTAAAACATTGTGCTTTTATGACAGAATGATATAAGAACTGGGAAAATGTGATTTTGAAGCATTTATATACCTGTTGTCAATTGAGTGGAAAGATTGAAAAACTATATAACCAGCTTTCCAGAAGCACAGGTAGTCAAATTTGTAGTCACTACTGCTCATCAATACAATTTCTGCATTTTTCTTAGCTCATTGCTCTTGCTATCTTATAGATAATCTCCTCCATCGGTAGAGTAGAGAGGTGCTAAGTCTACCATGATACTTGAACTTTATTTTGTATTATGTCCTTTTGTGTCCTCTGCGTCCTATTGGAAAATGTTCTGCTTTGCGCAATGGTCAAATCTAACTTGCCTCTGTGCTTCCCCAGAATTCAATTCGGCACAACCTTTCTCTCAACAAGTGTTTCCGGAAGGTGCCCAGACCTCGGGATGACCCTGGGAAGGTGAGATGCTGCCTGCTGTAAGCACTGACGGGAGGAACAGGAAGGAGAGGGCAGCAGTTGATAGCCCAGACTGTTGTGGTTGTTTTAATTACCCAGAGGAGGAAATCGTGTTAATTAGAGAAGCAGCTTTATTTTTCCTCAATGGGAGAGCTTGGTAATCAAGCTTGTGGGCCTCCACTAAAATGAATGACTAAGGACGATTGTGAAATCTTTTTTAAAAAACTAGAAATATTTATGCCCGGCCAGTGTGGCTCAGTGGATTGAGTGTTGTCCCATGGACTGAGAGGTCCTGGTTTGATTCCCGGTCAGGGCACATGCCCGAGGGTTTCGGGCTCGATACCCAGGGAGGGGCATGCAGGAAGCAGCCGATCAATCTTTCTCTCTCACATTATTGTTTCTATCTCTTTCTTCCTCATTCTCTAAAAAAAAAAAATCAATAAAAACATATTAAAAAAATAGAAATATTTGCCCTGGCGGGTTTAGCTCAGTGGTTAGAGCGTCGGCCCACGGTCCAGAGAGACCCGGGTTCGGTTCCCACTAAGGGCACGTACCTTGGTTGCAGTTTTTCCCTGGCCCCGGGTGGGGTTGTGTGGATGGCAGCCAGTCACTGTGTTTCTCTCACATTGATGTTTCTCTCTCTCTCTTCCTCCCTTTCTCCCTCCCATTCTATCTGAAGATAAATGCAAAAATGTCCTCGGGTGAGGATTTAAAAAAAAGAAGCATTTATGTTAAAGTTTACTTTGCTGCCCGTTTTATTGTGTGGCACTCTTTCTAGATGTAAAAGGTGGGCTTAATAATCTTTGTAGCAACTTTTCTATGATTTTTATCTTTAAAAAGAAGGGATAGGTCATTCTCTTCATTTGTCAGATGTGGAAGCTAAAGTCCAGGAGAGCCTTGCCTCAGGTCACGTGAGGGGAGGGGCGTGCCTGGCATTTCCAGCTCTTTGCACTAGATACCATTGTTCTGCCCTCCAGAACAATAGAGGTCTGTGTTTGTACCACAGGGGTATCTCTGATATACTAGCTTTTAGGACAAATTTACTCCTCAAAATTAATCAGTATTCTCAGGCTTTTGTGTGAATTTCCAGTCATATTTCTTTTCTTTTTCTCTTTTTGGGGGGGGCAGTCCCAGTCATTTTGCTTAATTTATGAGGAAATACTCTCAAATATCTACTTTTCCAAAGGTGATAATTTTCATAGAAAATGATTTTGTGCTTTGTGGTGCTGGTTCTTCTTCTAGGGCTCTTATTGGACAATCGACACCTGTCCTGACATCTCCCGAAAGAGAAGACACCCTCCAGATGATGACGTAAGTCCCCACCTCGTGGAGAGATGTCATTTCTGAGCCAGCTGCTCCTTCCACATTCTTTCCTGAGTTTTCAGTCCTTTCACATATCTGGGGCAAAGGGAGAATATGAGCAGAGGTGAAACCATGGGTCTTGGAGGAAGTTTAGCTTCTACTCATGGATTTCTATTCTTTCACAACCCTCAGCTGTCCCAGGACTCACCAGAACAGGAGGCAAGCAAGAGCCCCCGGGGAGGTGTTCCAGGGAGTGGAGAAGCCTCCCTGCCTCCTGAGGGGAACCCTCAGATGTCACTGCAGAGCCCCACATCTGTCACCAGCTACAACCAGGTAGGAAGGAGAGATGGCAGGGAGCTGAGGGGCAGATAAATGGATGAGTGGGTGGGTGGGTGGTTGAAAAGAGTCATTTATCTGTCAGTTGAAAATTATGTATTGAGTTTCTGTGATACAGTAGGCAGCAAAATTGGTAAAGAAAAGGAAAGCAAAGAGGAAAGCTGAGAGCAAAGAACGAGTGGGGGAGAGAGAATGAGGACAGAAATTTGAGAATGATTAGAAAAAAAGGGATGAGAAGAAGGGAGACAAAAATGTATCAGAGAAATAAGTGCATGGATGTAGCATAGGGAAAGGGCAAGAGGCTATGTCAAAATAAGAACATATACTCATTGTTTGAAAAGTTGGTGGAGGATGAAGACAGGCAGGAGCGCTTAGGGACCATTAAAGGGTAATATAAGTCCCTCATTCGGGATGTGGATCAAATCTTTCTTACCTCTGTTTGCAGGGCACAGGATCTGTGGATGGTGGAGCAGTGGCTGCAGGGGCTCCAGGTCGAGAAGGTGCTGAGGGTCCCCCTCCCTTATATAACACCAACCATGACTTCAAATTCTCCTACGCAGAGATCAATTTTCAGGATCTGAGCTGGTCCTTCCGCAACCTCTACAAATCCATGCTGGAGAAGTCCTCTTCCTCCTCTCAGCATGGTGAGTCTGGAGTTGGGATGGAAGCATGTTGTCCTTATATTTTTGAATAGGTGGTGGCATTCTCTTGTCTCCCTTCTTTCTTATTTTTAACATAAGGAGAGGTTGATCACTAGTCAGGGGAAGCATGCCATGCATCAATACTCTTTGGAGCCCCAGCCAGGTGGCTCAGTTGGTTGGAGCACTGTCCATACACCAGAAAAGTTGTGGGTTTGATTCATGGTCAGAGTATATACCTACTTTTCGGGTTCAATCCCAGTTGGGGGCTCATACGGGAGGCAACCGATGGATGTTTCTCTCTTCATCCATTTCTCTCCCTCTCTCCCCCCCTTCCTCTCTCTCTAAAAAAATCAATAAAATCATATCCTCGGGTGAGGATTAAAAACAAATAATTAAAAAATCTGTTTGGTGTTGAGCTCTTTTGGATTAGTTTTGAAGGACGCTTGTTTCAACATGTGGTCTAGGTTATTAGCTTCAGAAAGTGAGTTGGAAGAATCTCTTCTAGAAGGAAGGGCAGTGATTTTACAGCTGCAAGCTGGTCATTTAGAGAATGACCACTAGGGGGCAGCAGTTCCCTTTCCTTTAGAGTTAGTAAACCACACACCCTAAGAGTCCATGCATTTCTTTGTGAGAACAATTCAATTTTATTTTTTAGCATATTTATATTTGTCCATTTTTATTAGAAAAAATTTCAAAGAGATGGAAAAATAGAGAAAATAGTGTTATGAACACGTTTTCATCTCCCAATTTAAACAGTTGCCAATATTTTGTCAGGCTTGCTTCATTTACCACTCAGCCTTTTTTTGCCCCCATCATCATTTATTCCCCCATACCCTCTTTTACTTCCATCCATCCTTTTTTCTTTAATTAGAGCAATTTGATGCCATTCCCAAACATGTCATCTACCTGTAAATAGCATTTCAATATGCATCCTTAACAATAAAGACTTTTTTTGTTACTTATTTCTATTATCACTCCTAATACAATTAATGATCCTTTCTAATACAAGTTATATCTTGTCCATACTCAGTTTCCTGAATTATCAACTGAGAATGATTTAAAATCCTTATTGGGAGGTTCCTTGAGAAGAGGATCTGGTTCAGCCCTCTACAATTCCTTTTTTTTGGTTTTATTTTTAAAGAGAACAGTTTTAAAAAGTATGTTTTTATTGATTTTAGAGAGGAAAGGAGAAGGAGAGAGAGAAACATCAATTGGTTGCCTCCTGCATGTATCCCAGCAGGGGATCAAACCCAAAACCTGTGTATGTGCCCTGACTGAGAATCAAACCGGCAGCCTTTTTTTTTTTTTTTTTTTTTTTAAGGGAGAGAGAGAGAGGTAGAAACATCGATGTGATTGGCTGCCTCCTGCACACCCCCTACTGAGGATCAAGCCTGCAACCCGGGCACATGCCCTGACCAGGAATCGAACTGGGACCTCTCCATCCATGGAATGACACTCGATCCACTAAGCCACATTGGCTGGGCAAACTGGCCACCTTTTGGGGGCATGGGACGATGCTCCACCAACTGAGCCACACCGGCAAGGGCTTGTTTTGTTTTGATTTTAAAGAAATTAGAGGTAGAAGTTAAGTCAAGACTTTAGATGAGTCATCAGATCTTCTTCTATACTGTGGCCTTGTGTAGACAGCAGGAGACTAATGGAATGATTAAAAGTAGTGAGGACTCACTTTTTGGAAAATTTGTATTAATTGTCATGCATTTCTATTTTTATGTGCAAGGGGATTCATATGTAGAGTTGTATTCCAAGATTATACCATTTGTATGAAAAATGAGTCAGGTGATTTGTTGATTGGAAAGGAAGAATATGGAGGGCTCCCAGAAACAAAGTAAAAAATTAGATTGAGCCCTGGCCAGTTTGGCTCAGCGGTTAGAGCGTCGGCCTGCGGTCCGGAGAGACCCGGGTTCGGTTCCTGCTAAGGGCATGTGCCTCGGTTGCAGTTTGTCCCCAGCCCTGGTCGGTCGTGTGGATGGCAGCCACTCGATGTGTTCCTTTCACGTCGATGTTTCTCTCTCTCTCTCTGTTCCTCTCTCTCCCTCCCACTCTACCTGAACAAAAAATAGAAAAATGTCCTCAGTTGAGGATAAAAAAAAAAAATTAGATTGAGAAACAAAGTAAAAAATTAAATTGGTGAGGACAGCACAGGGTTCACTGAAGTTTAATGGGGGCTGAAAGCTCCAAGCCTCAATTTCTAGTTATTTTCTGCCCAGTCTCTTCGAGAAATTCTTCCAAACTTATCCACTCCTCATTGAAGCTCCATTTATTGGTAGTGAATACAGTAGAAGGGTGTTGAGACAATAAGGAGGAGAGAATAGATGCCCCATGGCTTTGTTTTATTAATGATTTGCTTTTTAAACTGTTCCTGAGGTCTGGTGTCTTTTGGAACTGTGATTACAGGCCTATACCCAAATCCCTGCACAAAAACGTGAAAAGATATATGCTGACCTTTTGCTAAAATTTCAGTGGTTACTGTCAAGGCCCTCCCTCCTTCTGTTTTACCTACCAAGTGGCCAATGGGATCCCTGCTGTCCCAGAACACATTTATTTTTGAAGTCTGTGGTTTCTGTCTGAGGCCACCCACCTCAACCCAGTGGAAATCCTGTTGAGTGAAAAATGCATCACCCAAGCGACTTGCCTGCTTCTTTCCACCCTGCAGGCTTTTCGTCTCTCCTGGGGGACATGCCACCCTCTAACAACTACTACATGTACCAGCAGCAGCAGCAGCCACCACCTCAACAGCAGCAGCCGCCGCCACAGCCACAGCCACAGCCCCAACAGTCACAGCCACAGCAGCCGCAGGCACCAGCCCAGGGCCCCTCAACTGTAGGGGGTGCTCCTCCACTGCACACCCCAAGCCCAGATGGTTGTACCCCACCAGGGGGCAAGCAAGCTGGGGCTGAAGGCTATGGGCCTCCCTCTGTGATGGCCATGCATCCACCCCCACTGCAGCATGGAGGCTACCATCCTCATCAGCATCATCCCCACTCCCACCCTGCCCAGCAGCCGCCACCACCACAGCCACAGGCACAAGGCCAGGCTCCTATTAACAGTACTGGTTTTGGTGAGTAAGGAGGGTAAGGGAGATGCTAGAGGGGGGTGAATGACCTCCTTTTTCTGACTCTGGCTTGCAGGTGCAATTGGCAAGGAGGTAAATACCTGGTCTAGCCTCTCCTCCATGAGAGCTCATCTGAGCTAACAGGCGTTGCTACTTTATCTTATAGAAATTGTGGACAAATTGGGATTGTTTTGCATATTCTCCTGCCTATGAGCTGGACTGTTAAAACCTAAAGTATATATAGCTTTACTCATCCTAAATCCCCAGGGAGGGACATTCTAGCTCTGTCTTGGTAATGCAATTAATAATCTGTGTAGATGCAACAATGTTACAGGTAGTCAGTCTGCTAAGAGTTAACTGCCATTTTACATTTACTCTATTCTCTCACGTGCCCCACTTTGCTCTCTTCCTCATAGCCTTTCCTCCTGACTGGTGCTCCAATATCGACTCCTTAAAGGAAAGCTTCAAGATGGTGAATCGACTTAACTGGTCCAGCATTGAGCAGTCACAGTTCTCAGGTTAGTGGTGACTGGAGAGAGGAGGAGTCCAGTGTAAGTGGACAAACCCAAGAGAAACCAGGACAGAAGGGATGTTTAAGTGAAGTTTGATGATTGAGGATTTCATTGTTTTCTGTCCATATTTAACAGGGTGGATGATATGGATATGATTTGCAAATTAAGTTTCATAAATTTAGCCTTATTTCAAAACATGACAGTGGTTCATTCTAGCCAATTCTGTCTCTGGGAGAGGGAGGCTCTCAGGAATTCAGAAACCCTGGACCAGTAGTTTGTCACCACTTGCTGACTGTGACCATGGCTAATTTCTCCAGCTACTTTGAAATTGTGTTTTGTTCATCAGTAAGATAAAAATTATAATGTGAATTTAGTAACAAACAAATAGAAGAGTTTGAAAATGTAGAGCTCTAACGGATGCCACTTATAGTAGGAAATGCATTAATCCGTGGTGCTGGTTTATGATGTGGTTGGATAGTGAGATGGGATAGATCCGGGAGGGGCTCTGGGGCCTCTGCAAGGTTAGCTCTTCTTGCTTCTCTGTTTGTAGAACTGATGGAGAGTCTGCGGCAGGCAGAGCAGAAGAACTGGAGCCTTGACCAGCATCACATTGCCAATCTGTGTGACTCCCTCAACCACTTCCTTACTCAGACTGGTCACGTGCCCCCCCAAGGGGGCTCCCACCGGCCACCAGCCCCTGCCCGTATTGATGACTCCTGTGCCCTCACCAGTGGCAAACAAGAGCCAGCCCTGAACCAAGGTACGAACAAAGCAAGTAGCCAAGGAGGCGGAGACTCTAAGGAAAAGGGAGGGGGAGGAGGGAGGCCAGAGAGAATGGGGGAAAATTATCTAATGGGCAATGATCCAAACTGAGCAGTGGGACGAGTTTGTTCACCACGTGGACTGAACATTTATCTGTAAAGTCCTATACTGAAGAATGCCAAAGACATAGACCACGTGATTCCTGGGCGTGGAAGATAAGAATTACATAAGAAGAGGGAGGAGGAAGTCTCCATTCCAGACTGTGTCTCAGTAACCCATGCCTGAATCATATCAGTCGAAGTCTTGATTCAGCGACATGAGAGAGATTCAATGATCCGTTTTCAATATTTGTCATCCTTCTAATAGCTATGTTCTTTCACTTTTCTAGTACCAGGTCCTTTCTAGCCTAAGTGGTGAGGACTGATAGTTTCTGCAGAAAGCCTTCATGCCTGTGGGAGCTGCAGAACAGAGCAGGGAAGGGGGAAGATATTAAAGGGAGGAAGAGGACTGTTTTTCCCTGTCTATTGGACCTTGCTTTGTTGAGTAGAATGATCCCACTCAAGTAACTCTTTTCTTGTTTGGCAGTCAACTCTTATGGGCACCCCCAAGCCCCCCACCTTTACCCTGGCCCGTCACCAATGTACCCAATCCCCACCCAGGACTCAGCAGGATACAATCGCCCAGGTAAGAGCCAGGAACTCGGTTCACTGTCAGTCAGACGCTCTCTTTCCTGGTCAGGTATTTTACTCTCTTCCGTCCCTGGGCCTGCGTTTCCTGCACCTCCTGGCAGGAGTGAGCCTTCCTGATTCTAAAGGCCGGGAGTGTGGGCCACCAGCTAGTGAGGTGCATGTCATGGGAGACTAAAGAAAACATATTTACTTTAAAATTATCTGGTACCTGTGATAATGAAAGGCAGTAAAAGCATGAATGTAAACAAAGATAGATATGTAGAACATTTATGTCTAGCTTTAGAAGCTAGGTGAGAGACATACTCAGGCAAATAAAGTGAACATGGTATGCAAAACATAAAACATAGCTGCTTTGTGTCCATGTCTGCTTTCCTATCGCCTGATAGCAGGGATCTGGGATGGAACTATCTCCAATGGTAGGAGTGCCAGGGGAGACCCAAAGTTATCGTACATGGTACAAAATGAACTATTTCACCTTTAAATCCATTTTAGAAAAATTACTAATATTCCGCCAAGCCACAAGTGTTCTCAATTTTGGGAATGATATCTGAATCTTTGTTCATGTACTCCTTATCCATATAATAGATATACAAATTTATATACTGCTGTTTCAAATAATAGTACATCGGTATGTTGTTTGTCATTATTACATAGTCTGCATAAGTGTAACAGCTGCAAACTGTTATATTGGCATGGAAGCTAGTTTGCTGTAGTTTATTTCCTCATTGAAGTAGTGACCGGCAACAGAAATAACTCAGGGCTGATAAGAACAATAGTTTCACCCAGCATTCCTCATGGTGTTTGGGGTGCTGAGTACTGGACATCTAAATCAGTGGTTCTCAACCTGTGGGTCGTGACCCCTTTGGGGTCGAACGACCCTTTCACAGGGGTCACCTAAGACATAACAGTAGCAAAATTACAGTTATGAAGTAGCAACGAAAATAATTTAATGGTTGGGGGTCACCACAACAGGAGGAGCTGTATTAAAGGGTTGCAGCATTTGGAAGGTTGAGAACCACTGATCTAAATGATAGAATAGCTTCCCATCTACTCTCCTTTTCATCTCTTTCTCTCTTCCTGACAGCACACCATATGGTCTCTCGGCCACCGGTTCCGCCTCCTGGTGCCAATGAGGAGATCCCTGATGACTTCGACTGGGACTTGATCACTTAGTGCATCACAGAGTGTGACTCTCAGCCCAGGGCTGGGTGGTGAAGTCTGGCAGTGGGGAAAGAGCGGCCCCAGCCCATCCCTTCTCCCCTTGCCTGTATATAAATATATATCTTCTTGTTTTGTTCTTTCTCTGTCAGAGAAGCCACCGCAAGATGCTGCCGAAGATAACCCCTCTCCTGCCTCATTCTTCCTCTTTCTTCTTGCTTTTTTCCCCTAATTCTTTTATTATTATTCTTATTATGTTATTATTATGATTATTGGTTATATGCGGTCCTCTGTCTCCTGTCCCTATACCATCAACCATGTGCACCCCTTGCTAATTTAAAATCATCTGGCTGGAAGGTGAGGCTATAACTGTAGAGAAAGGTTTCAAATTCGGATTTACCTTTCTCTCTGAGAAATTCAATGCTAATCACACCTTCCGGCTCCAAATTGTTTTCTGTTCTTGTTAATATTCAGTCCAGGACTGGAGAGGCCACATTATCAAGTAGAAGAATCCCAAGCACTGCTTGGCAGCCATGACTTTGCAGGTTTTACTCAATGGTGCTAATTTTGTCCTCTGAGCTCTTCCTTGTCCCTTTATATCTTCAGTCCTACTTCTGTTGATCCTCATTTCTTACTGAGGGTAAGAGTGATGGGGGTGGTGCCAGAAGGTGGCCAGAATCCTAGTGGAATAAGAGGCCTGGGTTGGGTGGAATAGAATACTGCAGCGGGGTGATGGAATGTGAAACATTCAGGAGTTGGTATAAATACTGTGTCAAATCGACGTCAATTGGCTTGTCCCTAGGCCATTCTCTAAGGGAGACAGGGCGGGTCTGAGCCAGACACTGCAACTACAGTAGGGATGAGGATGACTGTTCAGCATAGGGTCAGCTTTCTGGAAATGTTTTCATTGTAACCATTTGGCTTTTTAAACATAATTTTCTCTGAAAGTTAACTGTGGCTCTTATTAGCATTTACAAATTATTCTTCAATCTCTCTTTCCCATTGAGCAAATATTATATTGTCTTCCTTTGGTTATTTGCTCAATTCTTCTGCTCATCTTATTTTCTCCCCTCACTTTCTGGCATTCTCAAGATAGAAAAGTAACCCATTATCACTCTTAGTTTTATCACGTCCTAGGACAGGATGGGAATCTCTTTCCCGCTGATAAGAGCAGAGCCAACCCGAATTGGTGGTAGGAGGGTGGGGAAAGAAAAACAAAGCTGGCGTAGACATGGGAAGGAACTATTTCAGTTTTTTAACTATGTAGGCAAATGTTTCTGTTGGAATCCAGACCACTGGGGCTGAAACTTTTGCAGTTGTCTTTTGAGGGGGTGAAGGAATTTGGTAGTATGGAGTAAATAATTTAGATGGAAGAATTCAATGAGGACCAAGGGAGACCCCCAGAAAAAGGTATAGGGATAACTTATCTCCTTTAACAAGGAGTGGCCATGATTTATTGCTGCAAAGTACTTAGTGTATATTTATGTGAATTGTTGAATTTTAGTTATGGGTGGGAAGAACAGTTTTACTTCTGTTTTTATTTCACTGAATGTTTAGTTTCTGAAAGCTACAGGACAAAACGTAAGGAACGGACAGGGCCACTCTCTGTGATTTCTGCTTTTTGTTCATATTCTTTTATTTACTGATGATTTCCAAAAGATTTAGCTTTCCACTCTCCTGTTTCCCCCCTCCTCCACCTCTTCCTTTCTTTGTAAGGGGGTTATATACGAGAGTTTGTTGAAGATGTCCAGTGAGGCTGAAGTAACGGGGCAAGAAAGGGCAGTTGACTGAAGAGCACTTTATTTCTTTGAAGTTCTTTGTAAGAGTGGGGGTGTGAGTGGCTTGAATCCCCCGTTGTATTGGAGGGCAGTTAGTGGGGTTGAAGTATCACATGATATTTCCCATTGTGGAAAGGAGAATTTCTCATAGAGGGTGGCACAATGCCTTTGCCCAGTATTGCTATTTTGGGCCTCTCTTTCTTAGTCCTTCCAATCAAGGTGTCACCTGCACACAACTTCCCACCTGTTCTCCCTAAGATCCCCCCTTTACATATCACCCCTATTTTGTAAACCCCTTTTCTACTCAGATCCAGACAGGGTTTGCAAGGGTAGACTAAATCATACATGTAAATGTCCCTTGTTTATAATTCATCTGTGTCTTAAAACAAAAACAAAAAACTAGTCTCATTAAGAACTCTGGTGGGCTGTCAGAGTAACTGAAGTTTGGGGCTAGGGCTGGAGATTGGCCATCAGGTCTTTTGGGACTTAAGGTCCCCTCCACTAAACTCAGCCTTGCTCATAGGCACAGGACAAACCTGACCCTCTTTGGGCCTCAGTTCCCCACCCCTCTCTATGAAATGGAAGAATACTACTTTTTCTTGTTGGTTCAGCATTGCTGGACTGGAAGTATAGTCGTTGTTGTATTGGGTGATGTGTGCAAAACTGCAGAAGCTCACTGCCTGCAAGAGGAAATAAGGGGGAAGGTGGAGGAGAGGGACAGATACAATAACTTGGTATAGATCCACCCATCCCTGCCTTCCTCTCTTCAACCCCTATGTTTCTGGTTTGGTGAGTCCTTCCTACCATTCATAATGCTTTGCATTGGTGCAGGCTGGGAAGGGGGGTATGGTCTCACAATTGTTGTTGTTGTTTTTTGCATGCTTTCTTAATAAAAACAAAGAAGAATGTTTATGGTTTTATCTTATTGGTGCCAGTCTCAAATATCTTTTTGCCAGGTAGGAAGGGAAAAATGTGAAGCATTTATTTTCAACTGGTCTTTTGCCACTCCCTCAACTCACATCACAGGGTTTGATTAGTTGACTATTTTGGGGGGGAAGACTGATGAGAGAGAAGAATTTAAAGCATGACTTTAACATTCTGTTTTTCTTTTTTTACTTATTTTTTGTTATTGTTGAAAGTATTACAGATGTCTCCCCTTTTATCCCCCATTGACCCCTTCCTCCCCACTCCCACCCCCCTCCTGCTTTCCCCAAACTATGTCTGTGTCCATTGGTTATGCATATATGCATATAAGTTCTTTGGTTTATCTCTTCCCACCCCACCCTCACTCCCCATCCCTTTGAGGTTTTTGATTCTGTTCCCTACATTCCGTTTTTTAAATGCTATTAAAGATAATGAAATAGCCCTGGCCAGTTTGCTCAGTGGTTAGAGCATCAGCCTGCCTGCAGACCAGAGAGGCCCAGGTTCAGTTCCCACTAAGGGCACATACCTTGGTTGTGGTTTGTTCCTGGCCCTGGTTGGGGTCGTGTGGGTGGCAACCACTCTATGTGTCTCTCTCACATCGATGTTTCTCTCTCTCTCTTCCTTCCTCTCTCTCCCTCCCGCTCTATCAGAAAATAAATGCAAAAAATGTCCTGAGGTGAGGATAAAAAATAAAATTTTTTTTAAAAAGATAATGAAATATTGTTGGGAGAGACAGTCACCCTCTGTAGTTGGACGTGTGGACAAGGCCATCTTGCTTTCATTCTGGGATAGTTTAAAGATGAAAGATATGCCCTGGCCAGTTTGGCTCAGTGGTTGGAGTGTCAGCCTGCGGATCAGAGAGTCCTGGGTTCGGTTCCTGATAGGGGCACGTACCAAAAGAAAAAAAAAGTAAAGATGAAAGATACTACAGTTTGGGGAGGAGTTGGGTCTCAATTGAAGACTTCCTGTGAGTATTTACAGAGTTTTTCATCAGCAATGAGGAAATTCCAATTGTAGGAATTTTTCAGATTACATTTCCAAGGTAAATGGTACTCTAGAAGGAGTCCAACAATGCCAACTATTGAATCTTTGTAACTATGCCAAGTTCATTCATACTAATGTCCTATATACTAACCTCAGGAGTTTGGGACTTATACCCAGGGTCTTGTGAGATGTGCTGGGATTTCCAGAAGCCTAGCCAGTTGTTATTATTGCAAGCCTACAGCTACTCACAGTAAGATTTATTTGATGCATATCTAGAAATTATGAGATATTCTGAGTGTCACACAGTTAAAAGAATCCATGAATCTCTGAGCCTTGCAAGGAACCACAAGAAAGCAAGCATTTATTCCTTCAAATATATAAGCAGATTAAAATAAAAATTAACATCGCAAATGCACATTATATCAGATATTACCTCACAAATGCAAGAATTTCTAGCTATTTGACATTTCCTGTATAGCATATGTAACAAATTTGTAGTGCAGACCCTCACCTCAACAATTGTAAGTCTAAAACTTCTCGTTTTCTGTCTTTAGATTAAATTATTTTATTCAGTTTAGATGAAGCTATGTTGAAGTACAAACAAGCCTGAAATTTTAGAAGTTTAACACATATAGGTTTATATACACAGAAAAGGAGAAGGTGGTAGGAATTGAATAATGTTTTTATAAAATGAAAGAAGAATAGAAGAAAAGCTATATAGATGAATGGAGAGAGAAAGTGGAAGAAAATGTGTGGTCATGAATTAAAAGTATGGTTAATGAATATGGGGACTCTGGGTAAACAAAAAAATATGAATATGCTCAGATGAAATTCTTTATCTTGCAAAACAAGAAGTCATTTTATCATGTCTACAAAAACAATCAGCATAAGACCATGACTTTGAAATATTGCAAATATCAGAAGAACCATCTAAAATTGTTACAAGGGTTATCTCTGAGAAATGGGAGTAGGAAGAGGGAGTGGTCGGGCCAAGTGTGGCAGGAAACTTCTCATATTTCATTATAAACCTTCAATCTCTTTAAACTATGTGTATGTATTACTTCGATAAAGTTTAATTAAAAAACCTAAAGATACTTTCAGTAATTATAACATGAAAGACGCACACCTAGAGTCATGTTTTAATAAGTTTGATGGTATTCCTGGAGGGTACTTAAGTCATTTTTCAATGATTCTAAACTTTTGAAATTAGAGGTTAGTCTAATGTGAAAGAAAACTTAGAGGCAGGGGAGAAGTAAGGGAATTAAGGAATTTAAGACAAGGAGTGGGAGGTAGATGACTCTATCAATAGGCAGAAAGAGAAAACAAAAACAAGAGCACTCCTCAAAGGGCAGCTTACATTCCAGATCCTGAGTAAGTTGTTAGATGCCTTAGTAGTCTGTGTTTACATGAGATGCTTAAGTTGCAATAACGGAAACTTGGAATTATGTCCTGTATCCATGAGTATTTCAAATAGGAAGCATCTGGCATTGTATTCTGCTCCAGACTCAGTCTATAAATCCTTATTTTTATAGACCATTTCTTCTTGCACCTTCTTTAAAATTTTGTTTTATTTCATTAAATTTATTGGGGCAACATTGTTTAATGAAGTCATACAGGTTTCAAGTGTACATTTCTATCATATATGCTCTGTATATTGCATTGTGTGCCTACCACCCCAAATCAAATCATGTTCTGTCACCATATTTGGCCCCCTTTACCCTTTGCTACCCCCTACCTGACCTCTTTATTTAAAACCATCTCCACCACCACACCAGTACAACAATAAAGCCATAGAATAAATGATCATCTTTCACTCAGAGCTAGAAGAATTGGTTTTAAAAATGAATACGGAAGGGAATTTAGATATACTAAATAGAAAACTTAAAGATGGAAAGAAAGATCATTTTACAACAGACTAGATTCTCATTTATCTCAGGCGGTTTAGTTTGGGATAGAAATAGACTAATTTGTGCATTGTCCCTCAAATATAGCATTAATCAGAAACAAGAGCTTGTTTACAAGTCAGGTGTTGGACTGAAAAGTTTCCATGTGATGCTGATGTCACTAGTCTGGGACCACATTTTGAAGACCTCTAATTTGAGTCTTTGCTGTTTTCTAAAATCCCTGCTCACCATGTCCCTCATCCTCTTAGAAACATGTCACACGTGGTGAATACCTAAGAAGCTCTGCTTGGATCATGTGCTTGGGTCAAATGCTCCATGTTGTCACACAGCTCTACTGCTACTGTTTCCTTCCAAAAAGACTTTGCTTTGGGTACAACTGGTAGAATGTGTGTGATCCTCACTGAAAGCTGCCTCCAGAATGCCCTGCACGGACTGCCTTGCTTTCTTTCTGAAATCTTTCCCCATCAAGGCATAGAGGAAGGGATTGAAGCAACTATTGGCAGATGCTAGAGCAATGGACACATGGTCCCAGGATAGCAGAGCTTCCCCAAAGGGAGTCTCTGAGTCAATGAACAAAGAGAGGACTCCAATAATGTGGTATGGGGCCCAGCAGACAAGGAAGACAACCACCACCACCACGGCCACTTGGAAGGTTTTGCTTCTTGTCTTGGTGAAGCGACCCCGTCGCATTCGGAAGATAATGAGGCTGTAACAGGTCACCATGGCAATAAAGGGCAGCAGGAAACCCATCACTAGCCTAGTCATGGTTATTACCACCAGGGGTGTTGGAGGTTGATTGTCATATTCAAAGAAGTCTTCAGTATCAAACTGGTCATCTTTTGGTGGCTCAGTTGAGTATAAGGCATTGCCAGAGGAACCAGTAGAGAACAGCTCTAAATCCGCAGAGAGGAAAGCATCAGAGTTATTCAGTGGATTAATTCTGTGATCTTCAATGGGAAGGCCAGAGGAGATTGTAGAGGCCTCAACATCTGGTTTAATTACATTATAATATGAATGCTGATTAGATAATCTAGCTGAATCCACAGGGAGTGAATCTCCAGGAGGTCTTTGAAATGTCTGAGAATGGAGGAGAGTGGTAGCTGTCCGAGGATCATTTGTTTGTAAAGGGAAAGCATCTAATCTATCATCCATTTTTCCAGGCAACCAAACATTGGGGTTGTCAAGAAACTCATTTTCGAGTTGATCAAAGGTGATGTCTAAATCATTCAATGAGTTATCGGCATCAAAATTGTAACCACACATATTTTGGTTGTTTATAGTAAACATTTCTCGGTATATGAACACAGGTATACACATTACAAAAGCTGCCACCCAGATACATCCACAGATAGTGAAGGCTGCCCTCACATTGCGGTGATTCTGGCACCAGATTGGCTTGAGTACCAAAAGACAGCGGTCCAGGCTAATGGCGGTCAGCAGGAAGACGCTGGCAAACATGTTGAGGATGATGATAGAGGGAATGAGCTTGCATAGGAGCCAACCATAAGGCCAGTGTCCTTGGAGTACCAAGTGAACCAGGGAGAAGGGTAAGGAGAGGCAGCACAGGAAGTCTGCCAGCGTGAGATGGAGAAACCAAACTGTGTTCACTGTCCACTTCATCTTTAGGCCAGCCACCCACAGCACCATCCCATTGCCTGGCAATCCCAATAAGAAAGTGAGGCTGAGAATGACCATGGACAGAATTATTTTGGGTTCATTCCAGGGCTGCGAGTGTACGTCAGTTGAATTGGTCTCATCAGAGAAAGACTCCATTGTTAAACTTCTGCAAAAAGATGAACAAACGTGTTTAAAGTAATATTATCTTTTTAAAAAATAAGTATCTTAGGAATTTAATCTTCCCACATAATAATGTAGACCCGCACAGGCCCTTGTTCTGTTTCAGTTTGTATTCCTTGATTTCACATTGGATCACACAAAACATTCTGATAGACCATTTAAAATCTACTGTACCAATTTAAATGTGCATCAAAATAATATCCTCATCTGGAAGTTTATATCAATGTAAATTTCTCCTTTTTCTTGCACTCTTTTTTTTCTTTATTGATTTTAGAGAGAGAAGAAGAGAGAGGGAGACAGAGATAGAAACATCGATGAGCCCTGGCCGGTTTGGCTCAGCGGTTAGAGCGTCGGCCTGCGGTCTGGAGAGACCCGGGTTCGGTTCCCGCTAAGGGCATGTACCTCGGTTGCAGTTTGTCCCCGGCCCTGGTTGGTCGTGCGGGTGACAGCCACTCGATGTGTTTCTTTCACATTGATGTTTCTCTCTCTCTGTTCTTCTCTCTCCCTCCCACTCTACCTGAACAAAAAATGGAAAAATGTCCTCGGGCGAGGATAAAAAAAAAAAAAAAAGAAACATTGATGAGAGAGAACATTGATTCGCTGCCTCCTGCATGCCCCCCCCACTGGGGATTTGGCCCCCAACCTTGGCATATTTCCTGACCAGGAGTTGATCTGGGACCTCTCAGTCCATTGGATGACACTCAAACCACTGAGCCACACTGGCCTGGCCAATCTTTGGATCTTTTATATACTGTGTATATGTGTGTATATACACTTGTACATCTGTATATATATTTTTTGTTATGTAAAATTGAACAAAATTAGATCAATTGTGCATTTGGTGCTTAAATTTTTTAAATTGTGGTGAAATACATGTAACATAAAATTTACCATCTTAATAATTTTTCTTTTTTATACTTACTCGAGGACATTTTTCGATATTTTGTTCAGATAGACTGGGAGCGGGAGAGAGAGAGAGAGAGAGAGAAACATCGACGTGAAAGGAACACATCGAGTGGTTGCCACCCACATGACCCAACCAGGGCCAGGGACAAACTGCAACCGAGGTACGCGCCCTTAGCGGGAACCGAACCCGGGTCTCTCTGGACTGCAGGCCAACGCTCTAATCACTGCGCCAAACCAGCCAGGGCTTCTTGCACTCTTAATCTCTCATTCTCCACTGATTTCTTTCCTTACCTATTATTCCCTTTTAAAAACAAACAAATGAGTCTAATGGACAAACAAACAATAACTATTATACCAAGGGTTCCCAACTTTAAATCCATGAAAGGACTTTGAGAATCTCCCGCACCCCTCAAATAATACGGAAAAAATTTTAACTACATATTTTCATTTCCTTGAGGATGAAAGGTGCATCCATTCTCTGTACCAGATTTTCAAAGGACTCACCAGTACAGAAAAAGGTCCTAGACTCAATTACGTCTTTTAGATACAACCTTGGCTTTTCCTTTTGCTGTTCAATTTCTCAAAAGTTGCTTACTCTCTTGACATTGATTTTTCTCACCACCCATCATTTCTTTCTTGCTTATTTGTTTTATATTGAATATAACAAAAATAATAGTTTTATTGTTACAGAAGGAGAAAACATATATGAAAAAAAATTGGAAAATGTAGACAAGTATAACAAAATAAAAACATCATATTCTACCAGTTATTAATTACTACTTTAACATCTTAATTTACAACTTTTGGATCTTTTTTCCCTTCATATTTATTTTATTTTTTAGAGAAAGAGGAAGGTAGAGAGAGAGAGAGAGAGAAACATCAATGTAAGAGAGATAAATCGATTGGCTGCCTCCTGCACACTCCCTACTGGAGATCAAGCCCCCAACCTTGGCATATTCCCTGACCAGGAGTTGACCTGGGACCTCTCAGTCCATAGGATGACACTCAATCCACTGAGCCACACTGGCCTGGCCAATCTTTGGATCTTCTATATGCAATATATATATGTGTGTATATACACTTGTATATATATTTTTGTTATGTAAAATTGAACAAAATTAGATCAAATGTGCATTTGGTGCTTAAATTTTTAAAATTGTGGTGAAATACATGTAACATAAAATTTACCATCTTAATAATTTTTCTTTTTTATCCTTACTTGAGGACATTTTTCGATATTTTGTTCAGATAGAGTGGGAGGGAGAGAGAGAGAGAGGGAGAGAAATATCGACATGGAAGGGACACGTCGAGTGGTTGCCACCCACACGACCCAACCAGGGCCGGGGACAAACTGCAACCGAGGTACGTGCCCTTAGCGGGAACCAAACCCAGGTCTCTCTAGACTGCAGGCCTACGCTCTAACCGCTGAGCCAAACCTGCCAGGGCTACCATCTTAATAATTTTTAAGTATATAGTTCAGTAGTGTTAAATATATTCACATTATTGTACAAAATCCTGGACTTTTTCACATTGCAAAACTGAAACTCTTTACCTCTTCGATATTCCCTTCCTCTCTCTCCTTCAGCCTCTGGCAACCCCCATTCTATTTTCTGTTTCCATGCAACTGACGATGTACAGGTAGAATCATATAACATTCAGCCTTTTTGTCTCTAACTTATTTCACTTAGCATAATGTCCTTAAGATTCATTCATGTTGTAGCATGTGTCAGAATTTTCTTCACTAGTAAGACTAAATAATATTCCGTTGTATATAAAAGGCCACATTTTGTTTATCCATTCATCTGTCAATGGACTTTTTAAAAAAAAATATTTTTTCTTTATTGGTTTTTAGGGAGAGAGAGAGAGAGATGGAAACATCAATGAGAGAGAATATCGATTGGCCACCTTCTGCATGCCGGGCACTGGGGATTGGGCCCACAACCTGGACATGTGCCCTGACCAGGAATTGAACTGGTGACCTCTTGGTGCATGGGTCAATGCTCAACCACTGAGCCACACTGGCTGGGCTGTCAGTGGACTTTTGAGTTGCTTCCACCTTTTAGCTATTGTGAATAATGCTGCTATGAATGTGGGTGTAAATGCATATTGTTTTATAAACTGATCTCTTTTTTTTCAGTCTTGTCTCCACAATATACAGTATAATTGTACCTTAAAGAATACTCAATCTTTACTCAATTCTTCCAACTGTCCCAGAAATTTTTTTTATAGCTGATTTGCCCACAATTATATCCAATCTAGGATCACACTTGCATCAGGATGTTATGTTTCTTAAGTGTCTTAATTTAGTCTAGCTTTTCTTCTTCAAAGATACTGGCTTGTTCTGGAGTCTGTTGTTCTTATCACTCCTCAACCCTGTGTAAATTGTCTTCTGCTCCTATCACTTCACTAAAATTACCTCTAAATAACAAATACAAGCATCTTTTTTTCTGTCTCCATCCTCCAGAATATATTATGTATCATTTGATAGCTTAACTCCTTAACACTCTCTTTTCTTGGCCTCTGTGACATTACTCTCCCCTAATTCTGAACATTCCTAAAAATGTACCCTACTTTATTCTTTTCCTAAACAGCTCACTATTTCATGTTAATGGTATTTTCTGTAGCTTGGCTAATGCAATTTACTTCTATCTGCAATTATGTCTTTTACACTAACCTCCTCTTTCCCCCACCTTTAATCTCTACCTATTAAAATCCTAGTGATTTTTCAAGAATTTCTCCTTTCATATTCAGTTCAAATATTAAATTTTTCTTGTAACTTCCTCTAATAATCCCAATCAGAAATTACTTCTTCAGATTCTTAAATCTGTCTGTGTGTGTGTGTGTGTGTGTGCACGCGTGTGGTTTGAACCTCTTTTCATACTCTCTGTGCAATGATACATTTTATCTTGCATTGTAATTATTATAGTGGCTATCCTATTTGTCATTCTGGCCTTAAATTTCATGACAGAAAAATAAATCTTGTTCCTAAAAGCTTGTTCCACAGAATTTAGCACAATGCCTTATATGTCGTAAAGATTAAATATTACTTGAATGGATGGATGTTCCTTTGGAAGGTTTATTTTTTTCTTTTTTAACTGAGTTTAGAATTCTAATTTTAGCCATTTAATTCAGTAAGTATGCTGTCTCTTCTAACTTCCTTTTTGTTTTCCAGTTTCCAGTTCTTAGTGGCTAAAACAGCATTTTATGTTTCCCTTTACAGAGGCCCAAAATATTTTTGTGACTAAGAAAGAGTTCTGCTGAGTTAACCGAATGTTATCATGGGTCTTAAAAAATTAGCAGAAGTAAGAGTAACTGAGTCAACAAAAATAATAATTAGAAAAAGTTATTCTCTTTCTCTTTTCTATAGTCTTATCTACTCAAATATTCAAGTCCTGTCAGGGTCCCTTCCTGCCTTGTTGTGCATGGCAGCAACCCTGGTCCCCTGTTCTACTCTAACACGTGTATTCATGCGTAGGCCCATAAAATACTGAGAAAAAGATACAGTCATAGATTGCTAGGGTGGAAAATAAACTTAGCAATCATCTATCATTGTCTCTATTTTTATTTTGCAGTTTTTGACATTGATACTCAGCAAATTAGTTGACATTTACATATATGTAACTAGGAAGGTTCACAGATCCTAGGTCCAATGACTGTCAGGCTGATACTCTTTTCACTACAAAAAATCATATAACTGTGGTGCCGCCACTGTGAAAAACACTATAGGGTTACCTTAAAAAGTTAAAAATTGAACTCCCATTTGACCCAGTGATCCCACTTCTAGGAATATACCCTAAGAAACTTGAAACACCAATCAGAAAGAATATATGTACCCCTATGTTCATAGCAGCACTATTTACAATAGCTAAGATCTGAAAAATACCCAAGTGTCCATCAGTAGATGAGTGGATTAAAAGCTGTGGTACATGTACACAATGGAATACTATGCAGCAGTAAGAAAGAAAGATCTCTTATCATTTGAGATGGCATGAAAAGACCTGGAGAGTATCATGCTAAGCAAAACAAGCCAAGCAGAGAAAGACAAATATCACATGATCTCACTAATTTGTGGAATATAATGAACTAAACAAACTGCTGGACAAAATTAACCCAGAGACATAGAGGTGGGGTACAGAGTGACAAGCCTCAGAAGAGGGGGTTGGGGGGGGAGAGGTAAACCATAGAACTTACATACATGTATGCATGACCAATGAACATAGACAACAAAGCTGGGGATGGGCCCTGGCCAGTTTGGCTCAGCGGTTGGAGCGTCGACCTGCAGTACAGAGAGACCCGGGTTCGGTTCCCGCTAAGGGCATGTACCTCGGTTGCAGTTTGTCCCCGGCCCTGGTTGGTCGTGCGGGTGGCAACCACTCGATGTGTCCCTTCACATCGATGTTTCTCTCTCTCTCTCTTCCTCTCTCTCCCTCCTGCTCTGTCTGAACAAAAAATGCAAAAATGTCCTCGGGTGAGGATAAAAAAAAAAAAAAAGCTGGGGATGGGGCGGTGGGAAGGGGAGGAGGCTGTCAATGGGGGAAAAATGAGAAACATCTGTAACAAAAACAAATTAATAAATAAAAATAAATATAAAAAGAATAAATAATATTTTCCATAATTGAAAAAAAAGTTTTGTCAACTTTATTTTTTCAAAGAACCAACTTATGATTTCAAAAAATGTTTCTGTTTTCTATTTCATCTATTTCTTCTCTGATTTATATTATTTTTACTCTTCATTCTTTGCATTTAGATTGTTCTTTTTTTGCTTTAATAAATAAAACTTTTATAAATTCCTTTTTTTATTACAGACCTTAAAATCTAAATATTTTTAAGGAATTGATTTGTCTGAATCTTATAAATTACAATATAATTCAATTTCATACATGTTCACTTCAAAATATTTTCTAATTTCTCTTATAATGTTTTATTTCACCCACTGATTACATAGAGGTACTTTATTTTTCCAAATGTTTGTTAGCTTCTCAATGTCTTTTTGTTATTGATTTCTAATTTGTTTCTATGTGGTAACGAGACATACTTTGCAAGATTCCAGTCCATTGATATTTGTTGAGACTTGTTATATCGTCTAAGATATAGTCTGTCCTGGAGAATATTCCATGTGCATTTGAAAAAAATGTGGATCTTGCTTTTGTTGGGTGAATTATTCTATAAATGTCATATAGGTCTAGTAGATAATATTGTTCAAGTCTTCTATATCCTTGTTAATTTTCTTTATTTTTTTGTTCTATCAATTACTGAAAATGATCTATTGAATCCTCCAACTCTCATTATTAAATGTCATATTTCTCTTTTCAAAAAAAAAAAAAAAAGCCCTGGCCGGTTTGGCTCAGTGGTTAGAGCGTCGGCCTGTGGTCTGGAGAGGTTCAGTTCCTGCTAAGGGCACGTACCTCGGTTGCAGTTTGCCCCGGCCCTGGTTGGTCGTGCGGATAGCAGCCACTCGATGTGTCCCTTTCATATCGATGTTTCTCTCTCTCTCTCTTCCTCTCTCTCCCTCCCACTATATCTGTACAAAAAATGGAAAAATGTCCTTGGGTGAGGATGAAAAAAAAAAAAAAAAAGCTGTGGTATATGTACCCAATGGAATAGTATGCAGCTGTAAGAAAGAAAGATCTGTTATCCTTTGAGATGGCTTGGAAGGACCTGGAGAGTATTAAGCTAAACAAAACAAGCCAAGCAGAGAAAGACAAATATCACATGATCTCACTAATTTGTGGAATATAATGAACTAAACAAACTGCTGAACGAAATTAACCCAGAGACATAGAGGTGGGGTACAGACTGACAAGCCTCAGAGGAGGGGAGGTTGGCGGGGGAAGAGGTAAACCACAGAACTTACATGCATGTATGCATGACCAATGAACATAGACAACAAAGCTGGGAATGGGGCAGGAGGGAAGAGGAAGAGAAACATCTGTAACCAAGACAATAATAAATAAAAAATAAATTAATTAAAAAAATACTTTCCTAAACTGTACTAATAACACACTCTCCATAACACAGTGCAAGAGTGGTGGTTCAATCTCCCGTGAACTGGGTAAAATGCAGTGAACATTTAAATAAAATTTTAGAATTAATTTTGAGATGGTCCTCTTTTGGTGTACTATTTTTAGGTCAGAGAATAAGTGAAAAGTAAAACTCCCACTGCCTGTGGAATAAAGTATCCAATATTCTCCCCCCCAAAAAGAATCAAACTGAAAAGCCTTTGGTATTGTTAACAAAGGGGAAGGTACCACGAGCTGCACAAATCGAAGTATTAGAGACCAACAAGAGCAAACTTCCAATATAAAGCAATTGAGTAATCTAGCCTAAGATATTTTATTATTAAAACAAATTTTTTCTTTATTGATTTTAAAGAGAGAGAGAGATAGAAACATTGATGAGAGAGAACATCAATTGGCCGCCTCCTGCATGCTCCCCACTGGGGATTTGGCCCACAACCTGGGCATGTGCCCTGACTCTGAATCGAACCGATGACGTCTTGGTACATGGGTCAACTCTCAACCACTGAGCCGCACTGGCCAGGCTAGCCTGAGCTATTTTATTTTATTATTATTATTTTTTTATCCTCACCTGAGGACATTTTTCCATTGTTTTTTTTTTGTTCAGGCAGAGTGGGAGGGAGAGAGAGGAACAGAGAGAGAGAGAGAAACATTGACGTGAAAGGAACACATCGAGTGGCTGCCACCCACACAACCAACCAGGGCCGGGGACAAACTGCAACCGAGGTACGCGCCCTTAGCGGGAACCGAACCCGGGTCTCTCCGGACCGCAGGCCGACGCTCTAACCGCTGAGCCAAACCGGCCAGGGCTATTTTAAATATCACATAGTATTTGTCTTGAAATGAAAGTATATATAAATCAGAATTGTGAAGTCTTTCAGAACAAAATCACTTTTTACGATTCTCCAAATGTTTGGACTTAAGAATACCTCTACATTTAAGATAGAGAATTTAAAATTTTATTTTTAACACTGAATTGACTAACAGTAACTAAAGATAAGTAAAATTTGCAACTAAAATTCAACTATAATAGGAAAAGTAGATTCCAGAATCATATACTAATGATAGGGTAACAGTCAGTAGCAAGAAGGAATAAGTAACAGGATAAATAAAAATAACAGGGAAATGGGATAAGAATATATATACATATATGTATATATAAATATCTCTATATAAGATAGGCAACCAGTGACTTGAAAAACAAAACTATTGAAGAAAACTGAAATCAAAGGTCAGGAGAATCAGAGCAATCTAACAGAGGGGAAAATGACATAAAATGCACTATTAGTTCAGAATGAATATAATAAGGGCAAAGATAAATAGAATATGGAATATTTAGAAGAAGAAAGATGCACCTGGGGAGAAAACAAAGGATATGTAAGTTGGGAAGGAATAAGGGGACATAGAAGATAATGACCCTCCTTTCAATCATCATGCAGAATGAGCAAAACAAAGTAAGTGCAAGTCAACTTACCAGAAACCTGAGACAGTAGCTGAAGGCTTCAGCAGCGATCTGGAGGCCTCCAAGAGTTCTGTGTGGTCCTCACACTTAACCACAATCAAGTCATGAAGTATGTTTAGGAAATTTGCTGAGCTCTTCCTCTTTTCGTTGTGTTGATAAATTGAAACCCACATTTTTGTCTACTATTTGACTTCACAGGAAGAGTTCCAAAGTCATTTCTAAATGTATTAGATAAGAAATGTAAAAAAACAGAAGCGAGAGGGCATAGCTTTCTGCAGGACAGAGCATGGTGAGAAAGAGAATACTTACGTTTGTATGCTATTCACTTTGTGTTTGCTTTTGTTTTGTTCTAGAAACACACCAAAATGACCCTGTGGTATGTGAGGGTGGAGATGGAGAATGATTGACAGGAATGACCTGCACAACTCCATGTAATGAATCTCAGATAACATCTTTCAAATGCTTAATAAGTGTAAAAAAATGTGCCCTGCCAAAATAAGATAAATTAAACTATGTTCTTATTTCTTGAGAGTCTCAATCTAGTAGACACACACACACACACACACACACACACACACACAACTATAATATAACTCAAACTATGACAATATAAACATAGGAGTAAAATAGTAGAGCACAACAAGTGAGGGTATATTTAGCCTGGAGCAATCTAGGAAAGTCTAAGGTAGAAATAAGATTTTAAAAAGTATAGGACTTCTATGTCCGGCCAGAGTGGCTCAGTGGATTGAACATCCCCTCCCATGAACTGAAAGTTCCCAGTTTCATTATCTGTCAGGGCACATGCTGAAGTGTGGGCTTGATCCCCAGTAAGGGGTATGCAGGAGGCAGCCAATTAACGTATTCCTCTCACATCAATGTTTCTATCTCTCTTTCCCTTCCTCTCTCTTTAAAAAAGTCAATAAAAAATAGTTGTTGTTGTTTTTTTAATTTTTTTTTTTTTTTTTATCCTCACCCGAGGACATTTTTCCATTTTTTGTACAGATAGAGTGGGAGGGAGAGAGAGGAACAGAGAGAGAGAGAGAAACATCGACGTGAAAGGGACACCTCGAGTGGCTGCCACCCACACGACCAACCAGAGCTGGGGACAAACTGCAACCGAAGTACATGCCCTTAGCGGGAACCGAACCTGGGTCTCTCCGGACCGCAGGCCAACGCTCTAACCGCTGAGCCAAACCGGCCAGGGCTGTTGTTGTTTTTTAAAGTATAGGACTTCTATAGGCAGAAAAAGATGACAAACTGGTTAGAGTGTTTAAGTAGAGCATAATGAGAAGGGGGTGGGTGGGAGAGTACTTTAAGCATTGGGGTACAGACAGGAGTCTGGGGAATTTGATTGTGTTTCATTAGGCAAGAGTGCAGAAGATTGAAGCAGAACCTTAAGCAATAATTCCTGCTTAAAGTATACATCATAAGGAATTCTCACTCACATTATTCTTTTACATGTATGCATATGAAATAAGGTTTATTTGGGTCAAAAGTACTTGAACACTCTTGCCTGTGGTAAGGGCTTCAGTCCATATTAGTTAACTTATTGTCCAAACAATAGGATCTGCTCCTCTTTTGCTTGTCGTCAAATCACTGTGGAACATTTTTGAGGCAGAAAGACACAAGAAAAATGCCAAGAGTTGAGTTTTATTGTTTTATCTAATTAATTATTAAGTAGAAAGTGAGTATTTTCATTGTTATTATCTAACTACCAGAGTAATACATACTTATAAAAAATTAATTGAAATACAGAAGTATAGAAGATAAAAATATAAAAGATTTTATTTCCAATTTTACTGCCTGGGAGTAACTATTTTAAGGTTTCTTTTACATCTAGCAATCTAGAATTCTCCCATTTGATCAGGGTTTGAAGCTGAACGGGCATTTCAAGCAGGGGGAAAACATGAGCACATATGAAAGTGGGGGTGAGCCCAACATGAATGAATGACATATAAAGTGGTTTGGCTGGAGTAAACAGGACACACTAAGGAGTAATGAAAGACAAGCAGAGGGCCTGGGTTAGAATCCCAGCTCCGTCACTTACTAAATGTGTGACTGTACAGAAGTTATGAAAACTCTGTGTTTTTATTTCCTCACCTGCAAAATGGGGGTTGTGTCAAATATTATCCGTTGATACTCAGGCCCATTCTCTCTTTCCATACTGTCTCTGGACTGGAGGCCTGGGTGCTACATTTCATAGATCTTCTCTTCAGTGAGGTTCTGAGAAGGCTCTGCCAGAGGGGCATGGTCATGTGCTGTTGGAAAGTGAAAAGAAAATCAGTGCATTTGATTCTAGAACTTGGTTTGTGCAGAGGGACTGCAAATCTATTTTTAAAGTAAAAGAACAAAAACTGTATAAGAGAATAAACATTTAAACATTAAAATAAAACACATACAGAGAGATTGAAAGAGGAATCATTTAGTTTTTGGTTTCTTCAAAGGCAGAAAACTCTGGTGGGCTCCTACACGGAAATGCCAGGTGTGGCCCTAGCAGGTGCTGGTAACTGTGGGCTCTAGCAGGGTAGTAGTTGCAGCAGCAGCCACAGGCCTGTGAGTTCCTAGATTTCTGCTAAGCAGCAGCAAGAGCCCCAGTCTCAAAGACAAGTACACACTTGCCCATTCTAGGCAACTTGCTTTTCCAGTTTTTTCTTCCAATTTTAGGGAAGCAGTCTCTTGTAGTTATATTATTTTCTCCTCATTTATCTCTCTAGTTCTTCCAATACTTTTGTATCCAAATTCTTGTATTAAATGCCCTGTTCGAAATACCTACAATGCTTTCTATATCCCTGGCTGGGAAATGACTAAATCAAATATTTGATGTACCTACTCTATAGAATTGTTAATGTAAATAAATATATGCAAAGCACTTTAAACAGTGCCTGCATTCAATAAATGTTAGCAATTATTATGTCAAAAAATGAATGTGGCTTCCAGTTACCTATTAGATAAAAACTAGTTTCCCATCATGGACATGCAGCAAATAGTCTACAGAATGTTCCCTTCCCAGTCACATCCTTTCTGTCAAATCAAATTGCAACCCATGGCCCTCAAGGATGCATATTAGACATACTCTCTGCTCCCTACAGCATAGCTGCTTAATTATGCAGATAGTTATAGTAAAACCAAGTAGAAATACAAATTGAAGAACAAAGTTGCCCAGAAGCTAAAGTAATTCAGCTAAAAAGTAAATAAAACAAAAACTGTATAATAACATACTATTCAATGAAATTATAATGATAAATATCCAATACACTTATGCTTAGATCTTGAAGAAATCAGCCATATTTGGCATGAAAAATCATTCAGAATCTGAGTGGTTTAAAGAAAATTTAACTCACTCTCTTCTTCTATTAATTTGCTGGTTATTGATTTTCTATTATAGTATGTATCCAGGACAGCCAAGGAAGGGAGGCTAGAGGGGAAGTAAACTGAGCTTAATTAACACTTTTTGTGAGTTTAGTTACATAAAAATGAAAGTAGACAAAGATATGATGCTTCAGTTTGTGTTTATCTAACCTAATGAGAAACCGTAGACATTTTATTCAGGGGACAGAATTCAGAACTATTGAGGGGTGGATGGCTGTCATAAATTTTGTAGGTCTAGATAAATTTTTGATTGGTATTTTAGGTTAGCTATCCTATTTGTGAATTATTTAGACAATGTCTTCTTCATTTTTTTCTTCTTTGCCTTTCCTTCCCCATTTCATGTCCAGTAGCATGTGTGTAAAAGAATGTGGTGTTACACAAACATACTGGGTTAGAAAACCACCCACTTTTTCCATTCTGTGGAGGGAAATACCCTACAGTTCTTCATCTCCAGTGTGTTTCCTTTTCTTTCACAAGTTGACAGCACTTCTTACACTGGTAATTAAAACGTGTGTAAGCAATTCTGTGACACCAGCTGCATTTCACACAGTTTAACTAATTTCAAACACATCTAACTGGACATAGTGTCAGATACCACATTATATGGGCTCAGTCCCATAAGACTGTTTCCCACTTCAGATGCCAATCTCAACTAGTAGGTCCCCAGGTTACCCACAACTTCTGCCCAACTTGGCTACAAAGTAGAGGATCCCATGACCTCATCCCCCTTAGATCTGATTATTCACTGGAGTGGCTCAAAGAACTCAGGGGGACATTTACTTACATTTACCAGATTATTAGTGGATATGATAAAGGATACAGGTGAACAGCCAGATGAAGAGATACATAGGGTGAGGTCTGGGAGTGTCCTGAGCACAGCTCTGTCCATGTGGAGTTGAGGTTACACTACTCTCTCGGTGTGGATGTGTTCACCTGTACCTGGAAGCTTTCTGAACCCTGTACTTTTGAGATTTATGGAAGCTTTATCATGTAGACGTGATAAATTATTAACTCATTTTTCAGGCTTTTTTCCTTTTCAAGAGAATGGAGAGGGGGGTACTAAAATTTTAAGCTTCTAATCATGGCTTTGTTTTTCTACTGACCAACCAACCCTCATCCAGGATCCATCTGGGAGCCCACCAGAGTTGTCTCATTAGAACAAAAGACACTTCTATCATTCAGGAAATTACAAGGCTTTCAGGAGCCCTGTGCCACGAACCAGTGTCAAAGACCACGTATTAGAACAGAAGAGGCTCTTGGTGCTTATTAGTTAGGAATTTACAAGGTTTTTGGAACCCTCTGTCAGGAACAGGGAGCAGAGACAAGGATGTCAATTTCTTATTATAAATCACAATATCACACATACCCGTTTCAGGTGAAATAAATGCTCCTTCTAAATCTCTTCAAGTCATTTTACATTGAGCACATTTGTCAGCCATGTAGGGGAAAATGGTGTTGAAATGGTAACTCCATTTTAGTTATCTTCTCTGTTGGATAGCTTCTGAAATACTAATAATGAATGTGTCAATGTTTATATTTACCTAAACAAGCATAATTCTTATTTTAAATGTAAATTAGTGTTAATAATAGTAATAACTTACACACTGAGGGCTTATCTACCAGACACTGTGCTAAGTACTTCATTGACCACGTTACTTAACTCTCACAACACTCCAGTCATGAGATAGGTGCTAATATTAGTAAC